TGGGAACCAACAACCAAGAACCAAGGTAGGTTTTGGGGGGGGGGGGTACCATATATATATATATATATGTGGATACACCCGCCAATTATTCCTAAGGAACCCCACATACACTGAACAAAATCAAGAAAGACCTCCTACCATCCACGGAACCTCCAGCACAGAAGGGATAGGACGCGGCTTGCCCCCGAACTCACGGGCCCTCCTGCATACGGTTTGGGGCGCATAACTTGCAGCTTTCACTTCGAAGTCTTCCCGCCTGGAAGCCAGGAGGGCCTTGCCCGTATCCTTGCAGCTGTGACGCATGCAAAGAAGGCGTGTGTTGGGGATTGAGGAGTAGGAGGGGTCGGTTGGGGACTTTACCTACTTTAGGGGTCACGCCCTGAGGTTAATGGTATGCTGTGCTGACTTTAGCTGTTGACCGAGTTTCGAGATTCTGCCTGAAATCCCTGTGTTTGAACACCATCAAACTTCGTGAAATAAGGCAGTCATCCAAAACCCACAAACTCAGTGGTCTTAAGTGTAGCTAATGTCAAGATGCGCCCTGGTCCTGTGGGAGTTCTGAGGTGGGGATACATTTATCATGGGGAGGGCCCTGTAGTTTTGACTCATACGTCTCATGTCTGAGAAGTCAAGCTAGATGCTGACGGGATACAATGGGTTAAGCACGGCGAATTGCATTCTGAGCTGTATGAGCATGGGTGGATGAAAGCTGGGTTTGCACTGTATGAATAAATGTCCCTTCGCAGACGCTGCAAACTATTTTGAACGTCTCATACCAGGCCCCTAGGGCAGGTCTTCGTCTAATTCAACCACCCACAGAGTCCCCTGATGCATAGCTCTATTGCGAACAGCGCTTGATGACAGGGCGGAGAGGTGGTGAAAGCCTCCTAGCTGCAACCTGCAAAACATTGTAGTTTCTAAGGTTTGGGAATATTCGCACGGGGATGATGTGTGGGTGGCGGCTTAAGTTGTTCCCCCAAATTGATCCTCATGACGTCGATGATGATATTCTTTGTTACACCTCCTCGGTAACTTTCAAGTGCAATGCTTCCCGTCCCACGTAAGCGTGTCTCTCTACATTGCGCATAGAGGGCTTGCTCGTAATTATGTAGAACTTAGGACTCTGACGGGTCCACAGAAACAAAGCTCACGTTGGTTCTTCCGCAGATGTTGCCAGCAGCAAAGATTGGGTTGTGGTGGGCTTCACAGCACGCCGGGTATCGCCGGGTAGCTTTCAGACATGCATGCCTGGATTTGGGGGATGTACTGTACTGCATGAAGAAGATGAAGTGAACATCTTGTGTGTTTGCCAGATGGCCTCACTGCGGAGTATTGCGGAATGAAGAGGAAGAAAGAGAGTCTAGACGCGTAAGTGTAAGATTGACCTTAGCTTCGTCGCGTCCTGTCGACCGCACATTGCAGGAGTTCTGCACCCAGTAAACCCAGTTGCGATTCACGGTTCCCAGCCTGCTGCGAGACAATGTTGATCGGGATTCAAATAGGACCACTTTGCATCCTTGCCGACACGGCTCTTCCAGCGCTGAGAGGGTACCCGCGCAAGGTCGACATGCCTGCCTCCGATCTCAAATTCCTCTTCGAAGTCCTCGATGAGGACGATGACGGTCGGATGCCCAGGCAAACATGAGCTAAAGCCCAAGAGGGGTGGCCTTTATGGCGTCAGCGTCCCTACAGCCTAGATTCCCAGAAGCAAACATTGGGAAGTGTAAAATCTGGACCCGGTAATCCTACCTAAATAGTGCGGCGTAGTTCTTTGGGCTCCTGACGACTAGTGCTTTTGGTCACTGCGCATCTGCAGCCGGTCTGGATTGAAATAATTTGAAGCGGTTGATTTTCAGCATCAGCGTTTGGGCTTCTAAGTTTGCGGATTGGTTCCATTTCAGAAGCGACCCTTAGCACACAATTGCTCTGACGTTGGCTGCTAGTAAGTATGACTTTCATAAGCAAGTCTTGTCAAACAGCAGTATTTGCTCATATACATACTACCCTGCCAAATTCACTGTCAATTCCAGACCCCGCGCTTTCGTGATCATTTCCTGGAAAGGTCATGATGCTAACCACCCGACATCCTCAACCCTAAACCCTATTCCCAAGTATGGCACTAAGGAACACTGTCCATCAAAGAGATGGTACAGCTTGGCGCAATGGAGGCACCTGGTTCATAGAGAAACCACAAAAGTGGCTGCTGTTTTGGCAGTTTATGGAGGCGGTTGCGTCTTAGACTTCTGAGCCTTATTCTGGAGGCCCTTCGGATTGTTCTATGGCTTTTGGAAAGAGATATGCTACATTGTGCCCAAAACCACCATAAACAGCTTCTGAACTTGTCACTGTGAGAACTCACGAGCGGGTCAACGAGCATTGCCATGACGTGCAATTTCGATGACGTTCCCCACACTTGGTAGTTGGTCCTGAGACCATTGCATGCTTCAGAAAGCATCCACATATTCGGCCCATCGGCTTAAACATCCTTCATTCAGCTAGGATTCCAGCCAAGGGGGCCCCGAAAATGTTGGGATTTTTGCCGACTGGGCTTCGCAAAGTTTTTTTTATGAGCAGCACAGCGTCCTTGGCGCGTACGTCACATACCCATGTTGATCTCTTTGTCTCCTTATCTATATATATATATGTGTGTGTGTGGGGATTCAAATATCACCATGAAACCCCCATAAAAAAGGAAAAGATGCGATTCTAGCAACTTCCTCATGCAGCATGCCATTTGCAAGGTGCAAGATGCACTCCTCCTGTCCGAATACCTGGACAAGCAGGAGGCTAGTTCACAGCAAGTCAAGTCAGGAGGAAAGAAAGTTGTCCAACATTGCGGGCTTTGAGTGGTGTTTCTTGAGTGATGGTTTGCATACTTCAATGACTTCAAAGAGGAAGCCTACTTCCACAAGAAGCTCCCAAGTTTCTGGGTTGCTGTTAAGGTTACCATAATGGGTTTATATATATATATAGTAAATAATAGGGTTTCCCCAATAGAGTAACTTAATTTAAGTTCCTTAACAGCAACTCAGGTTTTTGCATTGACAAACTTGGAGCAGAGTTTGGGACATGTCTTGCTTACCATGATCTGGGTCTATGAGGTTGGAGGCCTGCAGCCAACAACTTGACACGCTGCCTATGGTCCGGCTGAAATCTTGATGCCCCCTCTGGGAATTAAGCAACTTATTGCTAAGAATGGATTCCGGAATGCTAGATTCCCAATGGTAGAGCCTTGACTGAGACCTCAGCTTCCATGAAATCAGGATGGTGAAATCAGCCTTGAAGAGCTAATGACGTTGGCCGGGATCCCCAGAGTGCTTGGGGGGCATGGACTCGGACTTGGAACCAAGGCAGCCCAGATTCAACTGCCTTCATTTGAAGCTCTTCTAGGCCATGGTAAAAGGAACGCTTCCACCTCATTGAGGGTACATGCATTTCTGGTGTATGCATATAGACATGTATATAGATAAATATACGTATGTATATATAGATATATGTTTTTTTTTGTAGTTGTCCAACTTTTAGCATGTTTCAAATATACAAGGTAGGACTTCAGGTCACCGGCCATGCGGGCGACGAGTTCGTTGACTCCCTGAAAGGCCTGTTCGCGGCAACGGGCATGTCGGCGTAGGTGCCAGATGCCCCGAGAGTGCTCTCCCCCCCAAACTAGGATTTAGGGGAATAAGGGGAATATGGAGGTATAATATAAGGTTGTATTATAGGGAGAATGAAAAAGAGAATGGAAACTACTATTTTGGGGTTATAGCATGTGTGGCTCCGGACAGCTTCTGGGGTTGTTACATGAGATATTTACAATGAACATGGCCTAGGATACACATGAGCAATGGTCAATACTCGCGTATTAGGGACGAAGAAAAGGAATGCCGTGAGATCTAGGAATCGTGCCAAAAGCC